TTTTTTTTTTTTATCTCTCTCTTTCTCTCTCTCCTCTCTCTCTCTCTCTCTTTATTTTCTTCTACACGTTTCTATCTTCTTTTTTTCCCCCTTTTCCTCATCTTCTTATTCCCCTCTTCTCTCTCTTTTTTATATTTCCCTTGGCCGATTTTTCTCCATGTCCTCTGTATTTGTTCTTTTCTTTTTTTTTGCTTTATTTCATCTAATCTATTCCTATTTTAGTTTTATGCTTAATGTCACTTGTCTGTTTCCAATTTTTGTGGGTTGGTTGAAATTCCAACAACAGTGACTTCAATTTTTTTCTTGGTTTGTTAGTATGAATGGATTGAATGTGTGGCTTGGCTTCATGTTTTAAACAATAAAACATTATGTGAAAAAAAAACATGTAGTTCTCAATTCTACTTCTTTGCCATCGGCTTCAATTCATCGAGGACGGTCTACCTGCCCTGAGCCATTAGTCCAAAACCGCAGGTCGCCTCGTTGCCGGCCAACCAATTGAATTCGGCGTGTTAAATTTTGGTACGCAACTCTTTATCATTCAATCGTCCGTGTTTGTTAGTTCCTCTTTGATATCTCTATCTCTTGTTTTGGAATTTGAAAATTTGCAACTCTTGTTTCTACCAAATTATCTTTATTGTATGCATCATAATTTGAAAAATACTGTGAGTTGAAAATAGCACTTTATAAATATCTTCAAAGGGGTTTTCATTCTGAATTGTTATGCATTAACCGTTGTTTTTATGTTGCTCAACAGTTGTCTTGTTATTATTTTGTTGTTGTTTTGTTGTTGTTTTATTGTTACGTGGAAGTTTTTTTTTTCCAGTTGTTTGTTTCATTTAATTTCTTGCAGGACTTGTTATCATCTAACTCGGCAAAACGTCATTAAGGAGTTTTAAGCATCATGTTAAATGAAATTAACTATTGAACCGACGTGATCCAAGGCCACGCTAGTCCACGCAATGAACCGGTCCGAACTACCGAAGACCGAAGTAACCGATACCTACCGAGGTCAACTTAAACCGAGGTCGTCACCTCCTAAAGCAGGTGACAAGGCGCCTACTCACCCCTATCACAATCCACAAGATTTGCAATCATTCACGTGGGACCCACTGCTCCAACCGCCCACCAAAAGTTACTTTATACGAACAATAATACACGAATCCCAATGTATCTATCAAAAAAGCTACTATAAATAGCGAGCCTAGGACATTTGTACGGGGATCCCCGAATTCATGAATATGCAACACGTAACAGCCTATAAAGGCTTTTCACCTCGGTTCACCTCGGACCGGGGCCATTGTTGAACAATCCTTACATGCTTTACATTAAAACCACTTGAGATTATCCCATAAACTCAACTTTAAATCGTTGTTAAGAATCATACGACAACAGGACTATAATTTTGTCTATGTGTATTCTTTATTATTATTATTATTATTATTATTATTATTTTTATTATTATTATTATTATTATTATTATTATTATTATTGATGTTGTTAATTCAATTTAACAAATATTTATGTTGCTTTTTGGTAATCTAATTTTATGTATGTATATAACCAATTTGATTGTTTTTATTATTATTATTATTATCATTTTTTTTGTTTCTTATCCTTAGGTGTTGATATTTGAAGAAGAAAAAGAAGAAGAAGAAAAGGGAAGAAGAAAGAGAAAACATGAAAGACGAAGAAAATGGAAGAAGAAGAAGAAGAACGTGAAGACAGAAATGGGAGAGAGAAAGAAGAAAGAAAAAAAATAAGAGAATAAAAATAGGATGAGAGAGAATAGTTGGTTATTGATTTAATTTTTTGAATTAATTCATTTAATTTTTTGTGTTTGCCTAAATTTGCCCAATTTTGGAGTATATTGGGTATTGTGTATGGGTAATTACTGTTGTGGAATATTAATTTTAAATGGGGACAGTTAGAAAAATTTCCCCTCGCTCCACTTGAGGAGACCTGGGAGAAAAGGTGTAATTAAGCCCACACTAGGCTTCAATTTAATTGAGTAATAAACAAAAAAGAAATAGTGGGCCTAGGACTTTTATTTAGGCAATGAATTAAGGGGTATTTGCATTTATACGGTAAAGAATTTAAAAGAATTGCATAAATATAAAAATAAAAACTTATTTGCAAATATTCCTAGTTTAACAAAATTATTTGGATAACTAATGTCAAACAAAAATTAAACAGTTACCATCATAAGATTCTGGTAACTGACGGCATTCTTTCATTAATTAAAAAAAAAACAAAATCTGAACTATACAATCACAAACATCACGAGCAGCGTCAATCACAAGCAGCGTCGTCTATTTTTTGATCAACGAGATGGTGGAGAACACAACATATACAGAAAATATACATAATATAAACAGTATATATACGACAAATATACAATATATATACTTAGGATCATGTCGATCCTTATAATTTTCAATTCAAATCTTTCATACGAAAAAACCAAACTATACACACTCTAATAGTGTGCATATGAAAAAAAAAATATAAACAGTATATATACGAAAAAATACACTATATATACCTGCAATTACACAAACAACAAAAAAAAGTATAAATATACTACATATATACGGCATATATACTGTCTGGTGGAGATGAAAATCGCGAACAGGGAGATCGACTCCCTAGGTCACGGTCGCCCTTCGTCTCCTCATGCCGCCTCGAGCAGGGATCCGGAATTTCAGTTCAAAATATACAAAAACCTGTAACAAAAATCAAATTTTGATCGGGCGCGGTCACCGTCTAGCCCTGCCTTTGAATCTCTATACCAGACGCCATCCGTCGGTCACTGTACAACATCAGTTCGGGAAATTGACGTCAGTTCGCGCCGCTGATCACCGTTCCTCTGTTCGTCACCTGGGCATCATCCACCATCAAGATCTGCAAAATCGGGAGTGAAATGCAAGAAAAATGTGATGAGATTTTGGTGTTCTGAAAAGAATTTTGAAGGTGGCAGTTTGATTTTGGATTTGGGAAGTTATATTTGCACATCGATGAGAAGAAGCAGATGAGATAATGATGGAGATAAGGATGTTTATTATTTGTTTCCCTCTTTATTATTATTATTATTATTATTATTATTATTATTATTATTATTATTATTATTATTATTATTATTATTATTATTATTATTATTATTATTATTAGTGGTATTATAGATTTGGAAGGAAACTTATTTATTATTTTGTTAGAATTCTTGTCTTGTTGGACAAGTTAATATTGTTAGGATTCTTGTCTTGTTGGACAAGTTAGTATTAGGGTTTTAGGAGCCTTATTTAAAGGACTCATCCTCTATTGTTTTATTCAGTTGAATATGAAATAAGAATTGATTGAGTTTTGTGAGTTTTACGTGTTTTACGAGAGAGTATCTTGTTTACTCGTATCGTATATTCCCATTCGTACGCTCTTCCCTAAACATGAATGTTTATGGTAAATAATTGTAGAAAAAAATAAGGAAGATATCAACATGAATTTAATATGAAAAATATAGACATTAATTAAAATTCAAGTCTAATTATTTTTCTATAAAAAATATTAATTTATGTCCAAACATGACTCCGAAGTATGATTTTTTGCCACATAGGATTCCAAAACATGAGAGTATGTCAGTTAGGCTCAACACATGCAATTATATATAAGGGGAGTAGATAACATATATCTTACTTATATTCTCTAATGAATTGAAATCAAGCCGAGAGGATCTTGATGAAGATCTTGACCAAGATTTGAAGGATCAATAAAATTGGAAAAAATTGTTCTTGAATAATTAAGGAATGAAGAATTCGAATATCTCCGCCAAAAATAGAAGAGGATCTAATTAACTTGGATAGAAATTGATTCCATATGGAAGGACATTGAAGGCATGAAGGCGTTTTACCTACTTGAAAGTTGTATATATGTCATCACAAAGACTCAAAGATCTAGAACAGTGGCTGCAATTACGATTATTGTTGAGTTTAACGTTCACGATATCTCTGAGAGTTTATGGGCTTCCTTTTATATTTGCGTATGTTAATTATTCAGTAATTCTGTTTGCGTTTCTGCATTTCTAAAGAGCTGAAACTTTTTATCTTCGTAATTCTTGGATATTTAGGGATTAATTAAGTATGGGCATCAATTTGGAGTGTTTCTATATAGTTGTTTTAGTCCACTGGTCAGATAATTAGTTAGTAGTTTCTTGTATAATGTTGGTAGGTTTAGGAGCGTTAACTTGTAATCCCAAATTGTACATCGTTCGTGTAACCTGTCTACTAATGAAATAGCTTTGAGGAGTAGTGAGATGTTCCTGAAGACTAATTTGTTTAAATTGCCGCTTCCACTTTTAATTTCTATGTCGTTACACTTACACAATTGAGTACTCTATGTTACTTAGTGCTATAATCGAACTGAATGAGCAGAGCTTGGGCTGTTCGAGCTCGTGTTCGTTTAAGTTCGAAAAGTATTCGTGTTTGTTCGTATTTTCGTGTTCCGAACTCGAAAATAAAATAAAAATATTCTTTTATGTTAGATTTTTTATTAAAAAAATTACGTAAATATATAAAAATAAAATTATATTAAATTAATATTCGTTTCGTTGACGAGCTCATGTTCGTTCGATTATTAAACGAGCTTAATTTTCTATTCAATCTCGGCTCGATTAACAAACAAACGATCTCGAACGAGCTTTTTGTTCGCGAACGTTCGATTCATTAAC